TAAAGCATTATTTCAAGAATTAAAGAATTATCTAATTTAAATTAAATCTGTTACTTAAGATAATAATTATCCTGCATTTTAAACAATAACTTAACTGTTTATATAATTTTAACAACAATTTAACATTAACTTTAAGTATACGTTTTAGATTATAATTAAATAAATTTTAATTTTTTTTCATACATGAATATTTTGGGTCTTACAGGTAATTTTTAATATTCAAATTTGAGTTTTGGGTATTAACATATAGTTTATGAGAAAAGCACCAACATGATCTTTTAATTGTCTATGAAGGACCAAAACAATCCTTTAAAATAGTTAGGGATCATTTTGGTCCCTTAACTCTTTAAAGAGGAATCAAGATAGTTGCACCATCCAAACTAATGGATGTTAGACTTAACAATGTTAGAATTAGTGGTAGTTTTGGAATTATTTTTATTTTGCTATTTATTAAATATAATTTTCAAGTTACTATATTTTTTCCATATCTAACTTAAAAACTTTCGTGCATAAGCGAGAGTAAATTGGGCTGCTCGATCGATTGGGTGGGTGGCTGCTCAATGGATCTCAACTAAGCGGGTGGCGGTCAGATATGTGAGGACCTTTTTGTTGAGTTGAAAGATGTCAATCGCTTATATACAAAAGTTTCTATTGGATACGAAAAAAATACAAGTACTTGAAAAATTACATTTAGCAAATAGCTTAATTAAAAAAAAATCAAATCTTCCTCTAATTTTAACACCTTTTAAGTCCCACTACATGAAATTCAGGCATTACCAGCGATTAGCCTAAGATTTCCGGCAGTTTAGTAAAATACCGGCGTTTTTTCGGCAGGTTGTAAACCGCCGGTAAAAACTGCGTAGGAAACTATTTCTAGCGGTCTATTTCTGAAGGTTATAATCACCAGCACCTTTCTGGCGGCGCAGACGGCCGGTAATTTCCGGCTGTCATAACACCGGTGACCGCGGTTAATCACCGGCGGCATATCGGCCATCAAAACCGCTGGTTTTACCGGCGGCCAAACCACCGGATTGCCGCCGAATGACCACCGGTAAACTGACGGTTAATCACCGGCGGCTTACCGGCCATCAGAACCGTAGGTATTACAGGCGGCTAAACCGTCAGGTTTCTGCCAGATGACCACCGGTAATTAGCGGCGGCGTGATTAACGTTCCTATGTCAAACCGCTGGCTGAACCGCCGGTATTATCGGCGACTATAGGACCATGGATAATAGCCGCCGATAATAGTTGAATTTCCTGTAGTGTCCAACATCCATTAGTTTGGTTTGTGAGACTATTTTGATTCTTCTTAAAGAGTTGAGGGACCAAAATGGTCATTTTATATAATTAGATATCATTTTGGTCCTTCATGAAAAGTCAAGGGATCATTTTGATCATTTTCTCTATAGTTTTTTACTAAGTTGGGCATAGTAGAAATGATAATATTAAATGGTTTGTAAATTTTGAAAAGATAACTTAGAGAATTTTATATTAGAGAAATTGTTGGCATAACATCCATTGAAGATAAGTTAATTAAAAATAGTTTTGGTCATGTCCAAGGGTAACAAATGCACCACTTAAATTGCTAAATATATTTAGTGTTTGAGCATTACAAAAGAAAATGGGTAGATCTACGATAACATGTATAAATTATTTATTTATTTTTGTAAACGATAGTTTTACGAAGAATGAATGAATATTGAAGATTCATAAGTGATTCCAAATGGTCGGTATAAAGCTAAAGATGATGAAGATAACATTTATAAGATTGGCATGAAACTGAGTAGTGCCCATAAAAAGAATGTAGGATTCATTTATTTGATAGCCTAGTGGTACCAACCTATTGGCTTTTTCTATGGTGAGAGTAGTTGAGATTTTCTGCAGCTGTGTAGACTCTTTAGCTATTGTTTTTATTTAACAGGTCTTAGCCGGGCTCCTTAAACCAACAGAAGGCACCTTGCGTGTGAATAAGCCAAAAAGCTTTGTGTTCCAGAATCCTGATCACCAGGTTTCTTTCTTTCTTCCTATTTCTTACTTTTATTTGGAATATTTTTCTTTTTAGTTGTTCTATTTGAGCTTTGAAGTAAATTAGAATTTTATTATTTTCTATAGGGTACATTTAGTGGTTCTTAGGATGTCTGAACATATTGTAATGACGAGTATTCATTTTGGTCGAAGAACTTATTGCATTTACTTGAAAGAACCTTTGTTCCATGGAGTATTGTAGGCTTCGTTATGATATTCAGTAGAGAGAGAGGAGCTGCGAAATATTTAAAACAGTTTTAAAGTAGATTTATGCGAGTAATGCCATTAGTTTTAACTTGAACTTCATGCATAATTTTCTTTAGAAGGCCATTTATGTTGAGAAGGATAAACCAAAGGAGGATCAAACTTGGTTCAAATATATTAGTGGTTCTTGAATCCAATATTGTATGTGGAAATATACCAAGACATTACTGGAGAATGGGTCAAGGCTGAAGAGCAAAGGAGAGGAAGGAGCCGACAGTTCTGCATTGCTTCCGGTTAAGCAAATCTTGCAATAATTTGTTTTGCTGGAAAGGTAGAGCATAGCCCTGATCATGGTTGAGGTATTATCTAAGAAGACAGAGAGAAGGCTGCTTGCATATTGTGATAGGTGGAGTGGTTTATCACCGCCCTTCAAACTAAGTATCCAGATGTTGGAGAGTTAGTTTGGAGCGAATTTGTTGGAACCGAGTGGGAGAGAGGGCCTTAGTGAGAATGTCTGCTGGTTGATAGGGGCGGGATGGTTGGTGTTGGATGCCTTTCTGGAGTAAGAAATGTTGGAATTGATTGGATTCATATCCATCGCCATTATCTAAGCAAAGGTATTTAACTTTGGTGTTATGAATATTTTCTATCATGTTCAGAAAGTGGAAGAATTTGTGGAATGTTTCATCCTTTGAGCGCATTAAATGTAACCAAAAGAATTTTGAAAAATTGTCGATGAATGTAACATAATATTTAAAAACATGTATAGATAAAATGGGGGATAGTCCCCAAACATCACTATGTATTAAATGTAGATGTGCATTTACTACAAGAAAATCGCTCATTACCTACTGATTTTCCGGCGGTTTTCCGACGGAATATGTTCCAACGGATTTCCGATGGGTTACTTGAAATATTTCCGACTAATTTTCAAACAGATTTTCCGGTAGATTTGTTTCCGGCGGATTTTAATAATTTCTTTGAGCGCATTAAATATAACCAACGGAATTTCAAAGAATCGTCACTGAATGTAAAATAATATTTAAAAATGTGTGTAGATAAAATGGGGGATGTTCCCCAAGCATCACTATGTATTAAATGTAGAGGTGCATTTACTACAAGTAAATCGTCCATTACAGACGGATTTTCTGGTGGCTTGCCGACGGAATATTTTCTGATGGATTTTCGATGGATTACTTGAATTATTTCCGACTAATTTTCAAACAGATTTTCCGGCGGATTTTAATAATTTCTTGGAGCGCATTAAATATAACTGACAGAATTTTGAAGACTTGTCGATGAATGTAACATAATATTTAAAAACGTGTGTAGATAAAATGGGGGATGGTCCCCAGCATCACTATGTATTAAATGTAGAGGTGCATTTACTACAGGAAAATTGCCTGTTACCGACGAATTTTCCGGCGGCTTTTCGACGAAATATTTTCCGACGGATTTCCAATGGATTACTTGAAATATTTTCGACTAATTTTCAAACAAATTTTTTGGCAGATTTTAATAATTTTGAAAAAAATCATATATTTGTAATTTAATTAATTAATAGTTTTATAGCTTATTTTAATTCATTATTAATTTAATAATTTATTTTAATTAATTATTAATTTAGTAACTTAGTTTAATTAATTGTTAATTCAATAACTTATTTTAATTATTTATTAATTTTAATATTTTATTTTAAATTTTAATTTTATTTTATTTAAATATATAAGCGTAAGTTTTATAATATATTTTCCTCTACAACAAGTAGTTGACTACTTGAAATATTTGAATGTTCTGTGTTTGAATCCCACCGGCGTCACCGCGCAGACAGGCAGGTAGGCGTGCGGCCAGTGTGGGCAGGCGAGTAGCTGTTGTGGGCTTATTATTTTTAATTATTCTGGCAGCTTTTTTTCGACGAAAAATTTTTTCGACACTATTTTACTGGTGACAAATTTTTTGCCTGAAAACTTCCAAATTAACAATTTTCCGCTGGAAAATCTGCTGGTAATACATAATTTTTCTATAGTGATTTACATTTTTTATAATATTTTTGAATGATGGTTTGTGGCTTTTAGCCACATTACATGAAGTGCAAAATATTGAGGTGGAACTACATGAGATGTTGAGGTTTTTGGCAATGTATGAGGTCAAAAAATTGTGCAGGTGACCAAGGCATGCATGCCAGAGATGAAGTGAGTTGTGCTGTGATGTTAGAGCAGTTGGAGTGGAGACGCAGTTGGAGTGGTGGAGTGGATAGAGGCCGTTAGAACTGCAGTCACGAAGAAGAACCTGCTAAGTGAGGAGATCCTTGATGAGAAAAACGTAGGGATCGAATGAGATAGAACAATTGTTGTCAATTGTAAGTTTGTAAATAAAGATAAGATTATGGGAAATAGAGGGAACATGTAAGATATTTTGGAGGAGAAGCTTATAGTTGTGCGAGTGTGTTTAGTAGTCCGTTGCCAATATTGGAGATGGAGAGGGCCGAGCCATCGCCGATGGAGACAGAGTCCTGTTCAAGAGAGGGTGATAGTTGTTGAATGTTGGAGATGTCGGCTGTGAGATGAGCAGAGGTGCCAAGAGTCAAGATGCTAGTCCAAAGATGGATGTGGGTTTTGGGCTCACCACGCTTCCGCTATGCGAGCAACCACTCCACCTATCTCAATATGCAAGCAACCAACTCTCTATCTTCTCAGATAATATCTCAACCATGTATAGGGTTATGCCCTACTTTTCCACTAAAACAAATTATTACAAGCTCTGATACCATGAGAAACTATGAAAACATGAAATGAAAAGAGAAGGTATTGCAAGCCATATAAGGTTTTCTTTTCATTTCGTTGATTTTCTTTAGTTATAATAATCAATATAAGTAGAAGAGGAACGAGCTGATAGTTTTGCTGTCACGACCCGACCCGGATACTTGATTTAACGAGGCGGGAACTGAAAGTCAGACGGTATTACAATTTCATTCCAATTTCCAAAAAAAATATATTAACATAAACTTTTGAACAAATTGAGGAGCCACTAACAACCAAAGAAAATTATAAATCAATCATTGTCAAAATTAATCATTTTCATCAATGGTTTACTATTAGAATAATTAATATGAATATTTTTTTTTACAATACTCTTATCATCTTTAATATGCATCCAATCATTTTTTAACTTTATTTCATTCATTTCAGTAATTTATACATATCTGATCATTTTCCTTTAAAATATTTAAAGCATTTCAAAACTTCAATATTTTATTTCCTCATTTAATTCATATAGGAGCATCGTCTCAATGTACCCAAAGGTTTAACATTTTCCATTTTTTCTTTCCATTTCCATTACCTTTTTTCTTTTTACGTGCATGAGTACGACGTCCCCAATTAGTACCATAAGGGGGTGAACTCTTGTAGGTTTTCAATACATTTTCCTTGTTATATTATATCTATTTTATTTCCATATATATATACCCACTTTGATCTTTCAGTTCGTCGATCCTTGTCATAACCTCAATCTCAAAATTTTATTCTTGTTGAATTCCTTGAAGAACTCAACTTGTATCACTAATTCCTTTCTTTCCTTCTAAAATTGTCATAAAATAAATTTTAAGGATTTATTCTACAAAATTTAACAGAAGACATGATAATAAAATCACTTACAAAAAGATGATTATTCCAACTCAAAATATTTCTCCTTTCTTTCCCGAATTCTTCAAATATCTTCCTTATCCTTTGTGAAAATATCATTCGCGTTTAAGTGAAGAAATCGACGAAATTTATAAGAAAAAAGAAGAATTTCAACAAACCTTCTCTTTTCTTCTCGATCGTTCTTCTCGTCCACATAAATTTCTTCCCAAAATTATCACTCCTTTAATGGTAGGAAGGAAAAGGAATGATTAATTCTTATCATTTAAAAGAATCATTTACTAAAATTGAGACAAAAAACGAACTTACCTCTCTCGCACGATCTCTCGGTCGTCCGCCCCTCTCTCTCTGTTTCGCGATTTCAAGCTGACTCCTGTAGGAGTTGCGGATATTAAAAGGGGGGTTGGTCGCTTCGATTGAACCGGACACCCATTCGGTTCATTACAATCTCCCCTACTTATAAAATTTCATCCTCGAAATTAAATCAAGTAGAAGAAAACATACTTTAGTTAAAGAGTTAAAGATATTGACTTTTCATTTCTACTTCTTTCTCTCATGCGGCATCTCTTTCTGTTCCATACTTCCACAAAATCTTCATAAAAGGAATTGTTCTATTCCTCAACTATTTCACATCATATTCTAGTTTCCTTTCAGGTTCCTCAATATATTTCAAATCAGGTTGCAAGTCAATTAATTTAGACTGGATTCTCTTTGAATCATCTAAGACATACTTCTGAAGCACTGATATATGGAATACATTATGAATTCCTTACATGTGTCCTGGCATATCCAATCTATATGTCATATTTCCAATCATTTCAATGATTTCATAGGGACCTATGAATCTTCGGCTCAAATTGCCTGTCTTTCGAAACCTTTTCACACCTTTCATTGGGATGACTTTTAGGAAAACAAATTCTCTTACTTCAAATTTCACTAGTCGGTGCTTTGCATCATAGTATTTCCGTTGTCTTTCTTGAACTGTCTTTAGTCTGTCTCTGATCATTCTGATTTTGCTAGTAATCTCATCTACCAGTTCAGTTTCAATTACCTTTCTTTCACTAGTTTCTACCCAACACAAGGGTGTTATGTATTTTCTTCCATAAAGAGCCTCGTAGGGTGTCATTACAATACTAGATTG